AAAGTGGTCTCCCTGGGCATATTCTCCCAGGATAAATGACCTGCACTTGGCTCAAGACATCTCAAAACAAACCATGACATGATGCACTGGTGCATCAAATGCCACTCCTGACGACCCTTGCACAAGACTACACTCTTTAACCAACGATGTGATCTGGCACACCTGATGAAGATAACAGCTCAATCAACCCATCCAGGCAGCCACCTTTCACGTCACCTGCACCTCTCATCCGTTCCATCTGCTGCACCTCTTCCCTCCGATCGGGCCTCCACGAGCTCGTCAAGGAGGTCGACGGCCTCGAGCACGTCCTTGTACCTGCCGGTTCGGTGGGTTGGACAGGCCGAAAAGCGGATCCACAGCGACGTGTCAAAGGTCCACTTGTCAGATAAGGTCCGGTTTCCAACGCAAAAGCGAAACCAGAAGCCCATACCAATGACCTGAACCCACGAGTGATCCACCCAAGGGCAAACCGCCATTCGATTGGCTCGTCTCGTCTTCACCCAAACTCGGCGTGGCTAGGTCGCGGGTCCCACCTGGGTGAACAAGCCAAGGTACATGCGAACTCCCACCTTAGTCATTTTGACAGACACTCGTGGCAGATGTGCCAAGTCTGCTCGCGAGGCATCAACCAGAAGAACGAGCGCTGAAAGTGGTGAAGTCTGGCTATCAACAACAAGCTCTTGAAGCTTCCACGCTGCCTGTAGTTGGCCAATGCTTGTTCTATCGCAAGAGTTAGAGAAAGCCACCAGCCCACGTGGGAGTTCCAACGGGCGGCGCGACGACGTGGCGCCCGTCACCCCTCGTGAGATCTCATTTTCATCCACCCGCCGAATGGCGGATCTATGCTTCCACCAGCAGTCACAAGACGGGTGCCCAATACTATTGGAGGAAGTCGGGGCGCCCTTGGCACATCCACTCACTTGTTTTCACTCAACACCACCCTCACAATGTGACTCCACCCCTTGAGAGATCTCTTTTGGGACTTGTTTTTCATCCATGGTTCGTCTCCAACAGCACCTCAACCTCTCTCCCTATCGCGTCATCATGACGTTCGAATGCTCCGGATATCCGTTCTAAAGGCGATGGACGCCAGCGCCGAAGACCCGTATAGCCAGCGTCCAAGCCAGTACACATATGACCTCCTAATATACATGAACCTGATCAGCTTGCAAATGCGGGTCATGATCACTTCAGTTTCTAATTCAGATGTTCGTTCGAAGATGATCAGCGCCAATTCAGCGGATCATGGACCCTCCTAGCGCCCCCAGTCCCACCTTCGAAGCGAGGCTACTTGTTGGATCCTTAAGCGACCGATCCCGATCTGAAGCCTTTTTGATTTTCAAAGGCCATGTAGCGGTCTGGAGAAGCGATTGTCGAAGCTCCTACGTCTCGCGCCACGAAACAAAAGAGCGATGATCTTTCTTTGTTTCCTTTGTTTTTGCTCCAGAGAAACATGAGCACCATGATTGCAACCTTGGCTTGACCTTGACTTGAGGCATGATTGGATTGAACGTGATATGTCAGGTTGAAGTCATGGAGAATATGATTGGAGGCATTTTGATTTGTTTCTTGCTTGCTTGTTTGCTTGGAGAGTTCTTTTCTTGAAAAATTGTCTTGACTTGAGAAAGGAAGAGGAAAGCAAGAGAAAGCAAGAGAAAGGAAGAGAAAGGAAAGATCAGAAAGGCAGGTGGCATTAGACACGTGCAGTGTGGCAAGAGGGTTTTGATCCTAGAGTTTGGATTTTCTGTGGCATGACGAGTTCACTTGATGCAGGATGATTGGAACCAAGTTTCTTTCCAGTTTAACCTCTAGAGATTTTCTTGCGATGTCTTGTGCAGTTGCTTGGAGCTTAGTTCATCGCAGGTTTAGCTTCCAACGAGTTTCTTGCGAGTTCACTTGTGCTTGGTTGCAACTTTGTTCATTGCAAGTATGTGTCTAGATAACTTCTTGGGGATTTCATCTTTGGAAGTTGATTGCAGCTTTGTGTCCTTGTCAGGTCTTGAGGTCAGAGGTTTGCACGGCATTGTAACCCTAGATAACCCTTTTGCATCCTGAGCTGACAGGTAAGTTGTCCTTGAAAGCTTTTGCTTTTGAGGATCTCGATGATGAGGATTCAAGGGTCATTGAGGAAAGGAATCATCTCATGAGATTCCATGACCCACCTCTGAGAGATCCTCTTTGCGCGTTTGTCCTTGGTAGAACGTGTGGTCGAGGGTTGCAGTTGACTCTTTGATGGATCTGGAGTTTTGCTTGGGCTGGACTCGAGTTTACCTCTGGATTGATGCCATTGAGATCACCTTTGAGGGCAGAAGTTTGGGTCTTAGTTGATGTCTGATCCGTAGTTGCTCAAAGAAAACGAACAGAAGAAGAGAAGAAGACAGAAGAAGAAAGAAGGCAGCCCCAGGCGACCCAAGAAGGGGTGTGAAAAGTAGCGTACAGCGCACGTGTACAGCGTATGGCTCACCTAGTGCTTGCTTCTTTAGGGAATTTTCGTTTTCAGAGTGCTTGGGGTTGGAGCTGAGTGGTGATCTGTGCCCTTTTTGTGTGTGACCTTTGACCACCTTAGCAGGAGGAGGTTTGAAGTGGCAACTTGTGGCTAGAAACTGTTTAGAGAACCTTTTGGTAGAGCACGATGTCTTTGGAGACTGTTTGAGGTAGTTCTTTGTAGTTTTGTGTAGCTTTGAGATGACTATGTGCAGTCGTGTACTCTTTCAGGAAGAGTGACTAAGCTTAAGAGAAGCTTTGAGGACTTTTGAGGACAGTCTACAACCGACTGTAACTTTGGCTCAAGGAGCGGGATCGAAAAGGAAGCTTTGCTACTGTGTTTTCACAAGGAATGGGAAGAGGCAGGTGGAGGTCCAGGTTACCCCAGACACCGTGACTACTCTGGCATTCATCACGGAGGAACCGACGGTCTGACCCGTATGGAGCTTGGCCACCCTCGCACGAACTTTGACCGTTGGCCAGATCACTGACAGGGATCATAACGTCGACATAGTCACCCCAACCTTGGCGGGCTAGGTCCTGTTACGCATTCATTTCCACCAAAGTGGACGTGGAACCAAGGAAGGACGAAACTGCGATCAACATCATCACCTAGTCAACCTGACCCCCCTTTGCATGAACAACTCTAGAACCCTTCACCTCGCGGGTCTACTTTGGGACCAGAGCGTTGAAGGGGTCGCTTCTTTGGCCTTTGGTGCCACACCCTCTTCTTCTTTTACCTTCTGTGCTGCATCCTGAGGCTTTGCCTTGGAACTCTTCGGCTTTGCAGGCGCCTTCTCTGCTCTCATCTCTCCCTCCCTCAATCATCCTCTTCCTTTGCCCAAGGCACGGAGAACATGTCCTCCATCTCATTGACGAACACTGGTGGCAAGGGCTCCAAGCGTGGCTCAAAAAGGCATGGTCACGAAGAAGAGAAAAGTGATCGCACAGATTGTGCGGTGTCCGGCTTGCCTTCTCCCCGCAAGTGGGCCCGTAGCTTGGATTTGGTTCCCTACCCCGTGGCTTGGATTTGGTTCCCTGCCAACGCTTTCGCTGGGAGGCTGGCCGGTTCCCGCCTTGACAGTGCGTTCCATTTGGACGAATGCCGGCTCAATTCCAAAGAGGGTTGTGGTATACCTCTGCTTTGTTTGTTCACATCCTCCTCGGGAAAGAACGGAAGGATCACTCCGCAAACGGTCGGCCAAGTTCCTTGCTTCGGGTTGCAACTGCAGCGCCGCCGAACACTCGCAGCCGCCCGGTTCAGCGGCGGGTCTTGCACACCTCCGTCCTGGTCAACGCCGCAGAAGAACATAGTGGATTGCTGTCGATGTGGGTGGTTCTTTGTACAGACTCACATGTCATGAGGGTCATCTGCAGGTTTGGAGGTTTGGTGAAGTGCGATTTTCGTGGCAGGCGCAGGGAATCGTGAGGTTGGGAGGTGTGGCGGAGGTCACATTTCGTGGCAGGGGCAATACTGCGTGCGTGTGAGACATGTGGACACGCAAATTTTCGTGCCAAGCGCAGGAAATCGTGAGGTTGCGAGTTGTGGTGGAGGTGAATGTTGTTCTGACATTGGATTGGCACGTGAGCGGGCGTTGTTTGGAGGGGCTGGACTGCTTGGCAGGCTGCTTGATGTGAGTGTTCCGATGGGGGTTATGAGTGCTCCGATGGGGGTTTCCGCTTGACTTTTGGAGGAAGTCTTGTACGAAAACAGTTGGTGTGCAATTGGCACTCTTGGCCGAAAGGTTTCTTAACAATCCACGAGCACATCGAAAGTTCTATGTTGGCTTGCAATTGATGTTTGGAACACGACAACGGGAGAACCATTTCAACACCAGCGGTGAAAATGCGTGCTCTCGCCTGCGTGCCCCTTTTTCCACTCCAACAAATGGTTTCCGTGAAGTCATGAACGACCATGTTGGTCACCGCGAGACTCAAACCGACCAGCATGTGTGTAGTAAGGCGTTTGCAATGTTATTCATGGCGTTTGTTGAGTGCATGAACTCTAATGAACAAATCGGTGGTTTTGCGGTTTGCGGATGTGCCGTGAATTGACGGAACCTTGGCCTGTACCATTAAGCCCTTGGCCGCTTGCCGTTCTCGCAAAACTTCAACAACTTGATTGGAACGCAGCCCCTTTCATTCAAAGCACACTGCTCCAAATATCCAAAATGCACTGAGATTAAGATGCTCCAGGCAGCTAAAGAATGAGGCATTGCAGTCAACCTCTAACAAAAAGGTGTTCTATGGGTGTTCTGCCCTTGTGAGAAACACTCTAGGTTTGTTTGGGACTTATCATCAAGAGGTTTGGGCTACAGATTTGGTGGTATGTTCTCTGGAACTCCTTTTGCTTCTAGAACACTTTACAGAAGAGGAACATGCTGTCTTGGACTTTGAAACCACGGCAAATTGTTGAGACGTAGCTACAGTACATGCAAAAAATTGATGTCATAACATACATCACAGCGTTCACCTAATCGATCAGTTTTCCACTACAGAAGCTTTTCACTTTAGCAGCCTGTTGGCATTCTCAAACGAACGCGGATGAATCCCATTGCGCTTGATGAAACTCCTGTCAGCTGCGAATTCTACCAGAAAAGCCACAGGTGCAAGGGGGCTGAAGATTCCGGAGCATCAGGTTTTCAGTGCTTCAGGTGAGATCTCGCATGATCTCGCCGTTATGCAGGGAATTATTAGAATGTCATAATGATAGAGAGAGTCTATGAAAGTCTCGGTTGCAGCAGCGGCAAGTTGAATGCCAGATAGACGCCCTGCACTAACACAGGGACCCCCCCAAGCAAACAAGCTGGCCTTTAACAACTCCGCCCTCATCCTTTAACAACTCCGCAACGAAATCACGTTCCTTTGCAACGCACAGGCCAGCCTTCATCTACTATCAGCTGGCACCCAATGGCTCCAAGATTGAGGTGCCTCCGACAAGCTGATGGCACTCACGATTGATGGCCCAGACCGGGGCAACGTCCTTTGTGGATGATTGGAACAAGGGATTTGGCCAGTTCGCAGTCGACTGTCCCTTTGCCACTGATGCTGACGACACTCAGGTCCAAGCTCAGGCTGATGCCAATGGCCTATGCTACTTTCCGGAAGCGTCCCAGACTCAGTGTTTGAGGCTCAGGGTGTCTGGAAGCTCAAGCGACGATTCTGGCCTCCAAAAAAGCGGTCAAATCAGCACAGCATAGCACGGCTTTAAAGGTTGAGCGCATATTCTGGCCGCACATGTACCGTTCCAAACATCCATGGATGGCCGCAAATGTCGGTCACGGTTTGGACCCGTTTTCGTGTTCGACCCGAAACCTGTGTCAGTTCTTGGGAGGGTCAAGGCCTTTCGGCAACCCCCTGGCTGGTTGCTGTGCCATGTGTCGGTGTGACTGCTTCGCCCTGAGACGATCCACTGATGTCCGAGCGGAGCGGAGCGGAGCAGGGTCGACCAATGCTTACATAAAATGGCCTTGGCCAGCAATCCCACGTATGGATAGCGGATAGCGATTTGATTGCAAGGTGGTATTTCCGGGTTTCTTTGCAGGAATGATTGCTTGAAGGATAAATTACATTATGATCCAAGCTCCTTGGAGGGAAGACCGAAGAATCGTCATCGTTCAACAGTTTCTTGAGCATGTTTGTCGTTGGCATCTGAAGAGCGGCTTCAGGAGCTGCGAGTTGTCCAACTTCAGCTGCTGCTCGCGACTCTGGCAGATTCACAGGAAATTGGCAAGGTTTCGGCTGAAGGGTGTTGAGACTCTAATAAATGGCTCATGACTCATGACGCTGTTACCAGGCTTTTGAGACTGGACATGGAAAAGAACACTGGAGCAAAGACCCATAAAACCTTTCTGCTCCTTTTTGCTTGGCGCAAGTCTGTAAAGCCAGGGCCGACCGCTGGACCTGGTCTGTTAGCAAATCAGCCGCATCGCCTGATTCGGCCTGACCGCGCCAGGTTGTCCGAGAGCATGCACACAGCTGCCGAGTTCGGCACGATGATCAATGTCCAGAGTTGTTTGGCAGGGAACCCAATTTGGGTATGTTTCAATCAGAAGAGAGTTCGAGCACAGAATTTGGAATTCTTGTGCTCTTTGACCAGTGGAGCTGGGTACATATTTTTTGAGCTCCATCCTGCTACAAAGCAGGCTTTGGGCAGGGTCTGAAAAATGTGTGCCAACAAATCTCTTCTAAAGTGCTCACAGGCTAAAGGGAGTACAGCCTCTCCCAGTGTGCTACCCTCTCCTCTCCATAATTTTGCAAACTTCTCTCTCTGGCGCCCAGGTGTGTCTAGTACTTCCAATGGTTTGCTTGGTCTGCATTGCCAGACTACGAAGAAGACAGGAAGCTCAGCAAGCTCTTGAAGACGAGGAAACAGATGAGGACAGGGGGCAAGTTAACAAAGGCAGTTTCACCAAGGGCTTTACAAGCAAATTGGCAAATCTATTTTTTCAAGCCTTGTGTAAACAAGCTTTCCTCTTCCCAGGACCAGGAAGAGGAAGAGTCGGAAGAAATGAACCAGGCCCGAAGAGATTTGGAGAAGCTCCAACATTGACCGCTCCAGGTTTCGTTTCGCGAAGGGACCTGAAGGTGTTACAACCTTCATGTGAGAGATGAGCTTTCACTGATTCGAAGTCTTACAACCTTCCGTGGGGGGACCATGTCAGGCCATGAGGGGCCTTGAGTGCGAGACCAGTCTAGAGCTGAGTGCCTCTACGCAGACAGAGGATAAGTGATGAGTGTATCGGCAGACAGAAGGAGACTTGCCAAGCGGGACAAACTGTTGTGAAAGGAAAACCTTTACATCTCGAAGCAGTTGTCTCATTGAAGCAGGTGTTGTGTGCGAACGTGGACGATCGTTGTTGGTTTAGGAGGAAAACTGCCGAGCATAGCAAAAGGGCCAACAAGAAGAAAGACATTCAAGAAAAAGGGGTAAGAACATGCTGGACAAGTATATCTTAAGTGCACCAGTTGTGTAAATGACACGGTTCAGAAAACCTTCCGGGATTGCATCGTTCAAGACGCTTCATCTTCCAGGTGAACATGAATCTTAGGCTCCATTTTTCAACACAGGTGCACGGGTTTTCCTAAGGCGCTGGTGAGGCCGAGACTGGTGAGGAGGCCGAGCCGTGCTGGAGGTGCGGTGCTTCTTCTTGGCCACATCGCTTCAGCGTTGTCTTTGCGCAACTGCAAAGCACCTGATATATAACTTGGAGGGGGAGCTGAGCTTCTGAAGTCTCGACACAAGTGCCACGTGGATATGCCCCTCTCTCAAGAAGTCTACTGGCAGCCTGGACCAAGATGGGTATGGGTGGTTCTGTAGATTGTTGATCGCTGCACTGTGGGGTCTGAAGATCTTAGCTGCAATGTGCAATGGATATGGGAGTATGTTAAAGATAGCCACTGGCCATTCATGAACGGGGCTCCATTTGTTTCTTTTACATCGTGTTTGGAAGTATGACGGGTTTAGGTTGGCTTATCAATGGTTGGTACGAATCTTGGAACAATGATCCCCAAATAGTGATTTCCATCAAGCATGCAGCTGAGGTCGTTACCAGCTTTTCGGGGACTATGCTGGGTGTCTCAATGTTTCAGAATTTGTCCTGGTTTCGCTTCGCCTGACCGGCCAGGAATGGGCTGAGGGTGCTTCTCCGCGTTTGGACGCTTAGGAAAAGGTCCGTTGATCAGGAAGAGTTCTAAGTTCTCACAGCAAAAGAGATTCCTAAGACTGTATCAACAGATCCAGTAGCTCAAATCCTACTAATTCTCAAACCAACCAGAAGAAACGCAAAATGGTTGATTCTGGTAAGATCTGTGAAGATCATTGAAACATCAACCAGGAATGAGATTTTTCGTTGAAATCCAGAAAAGAAACCCTTCTTCAGGCCAGCAGACATTAATCTTTTCACCTTTTCAAGAGGCATTAATTAAGGAGCAGCTGCTGACCTCCGCTTACTTCCGCCCAAGTATTTCAATTCGCGATAAGGCCGTATGCGCGTCCACGTACTTCGAAGAATCGTGGAACTGTTGCCCAAAGATTTGAAAGACTTCTTCCTCAGAATCAAGGTGCTTTCCACTTCCACTCTTAGTTGGACGGAGGGTATATACCCATATCCTTTCTTTTCCCTCCAACTTCTAGGTCTTCCCATCTTTTCTCTGGAAGTACAGCAGGTGCTTCTTGTCATCGGATTTGCAGCCGAGCGGAGTCCTTAGCTCCGAGGGGTGACTTTATGGACTTACTCTGGGTGGTCACAGGGTATGTTCCTTTCTTTGACCCAGCGCATCAATCCGTGCGGGTTCTTCTGTTTCTTGGGCTTTTCAGCCCAGACTCAGCTTCTTCGTCCTTCGTCTTCTTCGATCCGGCCTTTCTTGCTGCGCATCGTCCTCTACCGCAGCGCGGTCTCGCTTCGTCCGTGTGAAGTCTCGCGAGGTTGATGATGCTCACCTTCACAGCCCGAATCACCCAGAAGCTGTTGGATGTGCCCATGAGGAGATGCTCCGCGCTGCCGCTGCGTGCTCCCACGGTCCCCCGGGCCCACGGGCCTGGCACCCGCGTGGCGTTCGGTGCCAGGAATTCGATGATGGCTGGAGAGGCATTCTTGATGCCAGTGCGCAGAGCCCTTGGTGATTGACAGGTTCAGGGTGGAGGTGTACAGGGAATTGGTCGCTTGCAATGTGAAGAACAGTGTTTTATTCGCTTGAATCCTTTTTGCGGTCAGCTCAGGTGAGATTTTCCAATTCCTCGAGGACTCGCTGATTTTCAAGCTGTCTCGTTGACTGCCAGAAGTGACCCCGGCACTGACTCTCCGTCCACTTTGGAGAACTGTCTTAGGAAACTGTGAGTTTCTATGTCCAAAGTGCAGGGGATGACCGTTTTACCACGGTGGAAGGACTTCATTTTTTGGTCGTCACTCGCTGAGCCCATTTTGGGAGATCAACATGTATGAAAGCAGCAGCAGGCTATTTTGATGTAATCGCTGATGAACAAGTTCTTGACCGACCAGGATTGATGTAGTTCGGTTCTCGTTCTCTCACTCTGTTCACTTTCACACGGTGCAGGATGTAGTGACTGTCAAGATCATGGCTGCTGTTAGGGCAGGCTCACTCGCAGCCTCTGCCTCAGATGCACTGGACTGGTCAGACCACTGCCCTATGTTTTCAGTTTCCATCGGTGTTTCACCATCATTCATTCCTACAGATGAACTTGGAATTGGATCTTTGCCCTAGCGCCCAGGAAGGCGAATCTTGTGGAGTTCCATGTCAGGGCAAGTTTGCTGTGAACATAAGTAAACAATAGTAAACATGTGTGTGTGTGGTTTTGGTGAGTTCACTCACCAATTCGCTTCCCACACCGGTCGCACTCTCTCTTAACGCACTCCGATCTAAGGCTGTTCGACCCATCCTTTCACTGGGAGTCCTAGGAGGACGAACGAGTCGAAGCGCAGTCGAGCGAATGAGGAGATCGGAGATCGCCGCGCGGGCGAGACGCCAATGAGTTGAGGACGTGGCCCCCCCAACAGCACTAGAAGGCAATGCAGCTCAGTGCTAGCTGCTAGATCCTTTTGATGTTTCTAGATATTTGAAACTGCCAGATCTTCAGCTCAAGCTCAGAATGCCAAGCTTTGGGAGCTGGTCACCTGGTCTGTTGTGTCACTAAAAAGATATCAAAACCTCGAACTCTCCAGGAGCTTTGTGTGGCGTGGTTGCTGTCAGGGCCTGAGTTGGTCAACTGAATTGATCAAGACACCAAACAAGTACGATCGCTCCCCTTGGTCCCACCATCAAACCTTGAAAGTCAAGGATTTGAGAAGTTTCAAAACCAAAAGTTCCAGTCTCATGATGCGTTATCCCTGTACTGTAAAAGGCTCCAAAGGTTCTCAAAAGTAATTCCCGAAAGCATTGCGTGACTGCCGACCTGTCCTAGTTGGAACAGCCTGTGCAGAACCGCAGTAGGCATGCAAACCTGTTGAACACCATCACCATGAGCGTGTAGCAGTGTAGCAGGTACGTCAAAGTGGCCAACTCTGATTTCACCAGATCAAGTGGGCGCCTTCGCTACTTCGTTGGTAGCGGTCCCAAGGGATCTGCCACTACCCCCTGCTAAGTAGAAAAAATCAAGAAGCCATCAGGCTACCCGTCAATCCAGGGCGTACACGCACACACATGCCGAGTGTGTCACGTCCGACTGGTCAGGTGTAGCAGCAGTTCGGTTGGACAACAAGCTGTATCAGTCCCTTTGGGGGTCCCAATGATGCAGCCTTGAGAACATTCAAAGGAACTCCGTTTTGGGTGCTGGCTTTCTTCGTGCCCAAATTCTGACCTGTCAAGACAGAGCTTCGACCACCTTTTTTACTGCGACCGTTCAGCGCCCCCCGAGGCATTGTGCATCACCGCCATCTTAAGTTGGCCTGCGGCGCTGAGGTTGGCGCATGAGAAAACCGGATCAACAGACCATGCAGTGAAACCTGGGATGATTTGGATGATCATGCTAAACCCCACGAAGTCCCAGGAAGATTATATATATATATATGTGTTGCATCAGTGGTCTCCGGTCTCCTCTTCTACCAGGCCCTTTTGCCTGCTGTGCGTCTGAATATGCTATGCGCTACCAAGACTGAGCGCCATGACACAAAACAGACTGGTCATTGGAAGGGACTGGGGCCACAGGTGGCCACAAGTTCCACCAGCTTTTCGGCTTTGCCTTGGACTCAGCAGACCAAGTCTCGCAGTGGACAGGTGGTTGCTGGCTCCCTATGCCATGCACGAGGATTCATTGGCCTGCCCCCTTGTTCCGAAGGCATGCAGGGCGGCGCTGGCCCCTTTCTTCGGAGTTTGAATACCCCAAAGCTTCAGCGAACTTGGAAGCCGAGTGTGCTCTCACATGGCTTCCTGTCGGTTGTAAGAACTCTGTAGAATTGGGGATCACACCTAGTCAGCCTGGAATGGCTACTTTTGATCACACATGCCAGGGCGACGATGCAGCGGCAACGGTGATGAGCTGAGATTGAGTTGTGGGCCCAATTTGTTGCAGCTAACGCAAAACATGTTAGGGGCTTCGGAGGCATGGATCAGCATTGAGGTATGTATCCTGAAAGTAGTAGTCGTCGTCGTCGTCGTCGTCGTCGTCGCAGTCGTAGTTGTAGTCGTAGTAGTCGTAGTCGTAGTAGGAGTAGCAGTAGCACTAGCAGTAGCTGTAGCTGTAGAAGTAGCAGGTGTGGTGGTGGTGAGGTGGCGGTGGCGGCGGCATGTTTTTCTAGCTATTTTCGCAATTTTGGACAAATAGAGTTGACTGGGGCGATCGGAGCGTTTGTCTCACGACTACCGGACCAACAGACTGGAATAAGACAGTGGCCCATTTGTCGTGGATCCCATCACGCAGGTAGTATTTGTGCTGCCCCATATTGAGCAAACTTCTCGGGGACAAGTTAAGGAGGAGAGATGGTGTGCGGATGGTCTCCATCAGCTTGCAAGTTGCGCCTGTCTCTTTTTTTCCCCCTGTCTTGCTGGGCCATGCAAATGAGCGGAATTCTGGTATTGTGAGGCACTATGAGGCACTCAGTTAGGGGTGGGTGGGTGCATCTCTTTCTTAAAGCCAGATTTGGAACACATCACAAGTTGCTTGAACAGAAAACGGTGCCAGTGCCAGCTCAGGCCAAGATGTATCTTCTGCTTAGTGCCTGGTGTTGGCCAGCCAACTTTGTACCTCGCCTGACAAAGTCCTTGAGCAGTGGTGGATTCGAGAGTTCAGTGTCAGTTTGGGTTTTGAGTGTTTTGACCAGGGGTCGTGCATCATCTCCTGAAGCTGAGGATCTCCTCATAATCTGTCTTGTTTTTGTGTTCGAGTCACTACTCTCTGAGAATCATTACTCCATCACCGGTACTAGGAACAAGGACGCTACGAACGGGGCTCCTGGCCTTACTACCAGGAACAAGAAGCTACGAACGGAACAAAGACGGGCATCGCGACTCCAACGGAACAAGACGGGACGCGACTCGAGAGAGGCTACTGAGTAAGGGGCTCAACTGGCCTCTCTGAGAATCACTACTCCAACCCAAAAACCTCCATCACCGGGGTTCACCGGTGCCCGGGGGCGTCACTTCTTCTTCTCATCGCGTCGTCGCGCAGGTGTCGATGGGTCTGCGCGGACTCTTCCTCGGGCTCAACGAGTGGTCCACCTTGGGGCTGTCCATTCTGGTGAGCCCAGAGAAAGTGGGGGGAGGCCATGGCTACTATAGGGGGGAGGTCGGCCAACAAAAACAGTTGCGCGGTTTTCCGTTTTCGATTGGTGAGGGTTGGACATCGGTGTCAGATTGTTTTGGGTAGACGGTATACACGTGCACATGTTTGCGGGTCGATGACAGAACATGAGAGTGATCAAACTTGATGCTTTTACACAACCTTCGGAGCCGATACCAGTTTTCCGGGGCATGCAGTTTTTGATTTTCTCGATTGGATTGCTAAGGGTTTTCATCAGCCCTTCTCTGGGCGGATGTGCCATCCAACATAAATACATATATATATATATATGTTAAAAAGCACCAAGTATTCACCACAAACGTGTCCTTCTTATGACTTCCTGCCTAACTCATAGCCCAAAGTTTCAGCTGAGGTTCCAAATGCCATCCAGATCGTCTTGCTGTTTATGATCTTCATCCCCGATCCATCTCTAGACGCTTTGGGCCAGGGCCCCGATCCATGGAGGCTGGACGACGACCGACACCGCTCCCAATTCACCGCTCGCGCCCTTTGGTTTTCGGTGTCGTGTCGACTGAAAACCGCTGCCGGGGCGCCAGCGTCGCGATCATTTCCCCTGCGAAAGCAAGTATTGAGCTGTTTCTTTGTATTTGGTATTCCCTGGACTGGTGTGGGTCAAACTTATTGATTGGGACACTTCAAGTGAGGCTTGATTGCGATTGTGGGTGCCTATGGCTCGCTTTTGATCTTGTTTGGAGCCTTGGGATGAAAGCTGTGCACGAAGCAGTGCAGAGAGACATGTGGCGAAGTGGCTCAAACAAGAGTACCCCCCACCCCCCACCCGTAAATGGAGACGTGTCCATGCTGTTAGGTCAAACTCAAGCTTGAAAACTGTTTATCAAGAGACAGGTTTGAACAAGTGGAACACTATGTAATGTAAGTATATGTATATATGTATTAAGACGAGGAACCCAGCAAAGAAGAAGCCTTGTTTTCAAAAGACTGCATTAGCAGATATTAGCAGATGTTTCACATCAGAAACGTGCGATTTCCAAAGGCCCCAAAGTCCATAAAGCACCACATGCTTACTGCAAATGGCAAATGTTTCGCATCAGGAATGTACAATTGCCAAAGGCCCCAAAGTCCATAAAGCACCACATGCTTAGGAGGTGTTGGCAGCAACAGTCATAGGAAATTATGACCTTGGGAAATGGAAGAGACTTGAGTAGTGAATAAGCTCTTGCACAGCATGAAAACCTTCAAGTAAGGGTGAGTCACAACAGATTGAGCTCCTGTATATACATAACTATAATATATATATAATTATATATATATATATATGTATACATTTAGTCATATTTGTTTGTTTATACTTATATTTTTTTTTGTTTGGACTACTTTTATTGACCGACAGGTGAGGCTTATTAGGTAAGTTTCATAAAGGTCAGATCTTTTGCAAAGGTGAAGCCTTTTCAAAACAGTGGATGTTTTGAAATGACACCAAGGATGATATCTTGATTTACAAAAGAGCAGGGTTTCTGAAGGATGCCATGCCACCAAGGATGCACTCCTCAAGGAAGGACTTTGTATATAGACAGGAAACGCAAGCGCTTTTATGAATGATGATATTTATTGTTTTAGCATGTTTTAGCCAATGGGCTTAAAACTGCGCGTGTAGTGAAGCTGTTTTTGCATATTGCATATGATGATTTTGTTCGCTTTCTTTTTTTCTCCTTATTCTTGTTTCTTTTTTTTGGCTATCCTTTTTGCTGCTTTGCTTTCGTGGGGGGTGGGGAGTTCAAGCACGCTATTTGATAAGTTTTCATTGACATGGAGCAAGTTGTCCAGATTTTTTGCACCAACATGATTTTGATTGTTTTCATATGTCGCATGCGTTGCGATTCTGGCTAGGTGGACATGACGAGGGTAACTTTCGAGGTTTGTTTGTGTTTGTCGTCAGTTCTTTTGTTACATTTGCTTGACTTGAGGTGACCCTCCCCGAATCGGTTTTTGCGGGACGACCCATCGTGGCAGATCCCTCTTTCTTAGATGCACACATTGATGTTTGCTCCCCGTTCTCTGATCCCAGTCCGTCTTTTATCCAGGGAGGTTTCATTAGTGAACTGTCGGTCAACACTACGTGATCGCGCGATGGCAATGAAATCAACCCCAACATTTGGAAATATATTTAACATTTTGGTGGCAGCACCCTCCAGTCACCAGCGCCCAGGCTCCACTGCCATAAGCATCTGGCAGCATCACCCTGCAGCGGCAAGCTCCAAAGCACACACGGCCATAAACATCTCGGGACCGGCGCCAGCGCCCAAGCTCCAAAACGCTCATGGCCATGGACATCTGGAAACAGCCCCTTGCAGCGGCACCCTCCAGCGGCCCAAACCTCAAAGGACACTCCTGCACCTCTTCCCATCCTTGAAGTAAGAACACCAATAGCTCTCGCTATTTTGGAAAAAAACGCGACGTTTCGTTGCTGTTGTCCAACACGTGCATGATTAATCAGAACACTGGAAGGGTCGAAAGCTCAATGGCCCACAGCATATTCATCAGCTTGTAAAAAGCACAACTGTGGAAAACGCTCATGAAGCGAGTCCGGCGGGATGTTTCACAAGAACACAAATCAGTTGTGCAGTCCAGGAGGGCCTTAACTCAGGAAGACTTGCACAGGTAGGATGACCATCGACGGCAAAGGTATCATACGCGGACGGCTTGTAACAAGTAGCATTGATACTGTTTGCACACGAGCACGCAGCACCATTGCCTTTCGAGCCGCATAGATGCCACGGAAGCGCCGAATGAAGAATGGCATACGTTTCAGCGATAGAACCTCTGAAGCGAGTGAGAACCTGCCGCAGGCACCAAAAATTGAACAAGAAAGGCAAACAATATGACCGAAAGACTAATAAGCAAAATGAATCTTCAATATCAAAATCATGTTTTAGACAAAATGTGCGAAGGCCTCAAAACCAAAGGACACAAATCTCAACAAACAAAAAAGTTATATACATCAAAAAACACATAGTTCTAGGTTGAGGCCGTTTTTCTATCAAACACTATATAGTCTATATAGTATACTGTATTTTCTTGGTTTGTTCGGTTTCGGTTTATACTATATATATAGTTAGTCTTTTTATTCTTATTTTAATCTGACATTGTTTTTCTTTTGCCATCCTCTACCCCCAGCAATATAGGTTTGGAATGCTTCTGCCCATTTTTGAGAGATCATTCTACAACACAATGGTCTTGAATGAACTTCAGCTGCAGTTGTTAGATCCAAATCCCTTGCATAGCATTTTGGACGGGGTAGATCCTGCACGACAAACATTTGCGTTTTGCACGGTGTTCTTGCCCGATCATTTTCAGGTTCCCTACAAGAGCTGCCTGTTCGTGCCATTCCGCCGCTGAGGTTGGTGATTCTCCTGCTGCGGCGGGGGTTCCGCGAGCAGTACAACTTGACCTTGGGCTCTAGCGAGGCCGAAGACTGTGGGTTCAAAGCTTGGGCGATGCCGGCAGTGCTATTCTTGAGGATTGGTTGGTGAACGACGTACTTATGGACAGAAGGGTTTGGTTTGGTTCTAGTTTTTCTATTAGGGCCAAAGTATTGGAACCCTTCTGATTGTGTTGTAGCACTTCACGCGAGACTTGATGGTCGATGCCAGGTAAAGCCGGATGAGATGACAGCCTCGGTGTCCTGGCGTGAGGCCCTGATGTTTCTGAATCGTTTTCCACATGTTTCTGAATCCGGTCACTACTTGTCGTATGCAAGTCTGTTGCAATGTCAACTTCTCAGCTTTTCCCAGATTTGCTGCTTCCAATGCAGAGGTGCTATCGGACGTCTTCGACTGATAGGAAAAGCCATCCTCCCTTGGGCCGGGTCTCAAAACCGCTCAAAACCGGATGACTTGGGCCACGGGGGGCCAGGCTTCGAGGGAAGGCTTCTATGCCATGCTGTTAGATGTGGCGGCCCAATCCTCCATCACCGTGGGCATCTATACGGGAGGAGCCATGTACGGGTGCTTAGCCCAGTCAAAAGCCCAGTTGCACGGTCGAGTCAACGAGACTGGCAATTCGGTGTTTAAGGTAGGAGTCAAAATGGCGCTTCCACAGCCTATGCCATTTTATCAAACATCACATGTCGTTTTTTTGCTTCGGCTCCCATGTCCTTTTTGTCACCGAACACCTGTGGATGGAGAGGCAGAAAGCCGCAGAAAGCCTCTCGCAACGATGGACCGAACTGGACACGTTGTGGGTTTTGATTCCCCAAACAGCTTCGCCAAGAGCGATCAAGCTGCCACTGCTGTTTGGGGTCGATGCTGGTGTAATCGTTTTTTCGCCGTCCAGCCGTCGAACCGGATCGACTTCGACGCGGAGTCGACTCCGCGTCACTCGAAGCACCGAGGCTGGGGATCGGAGCCATGTACCAAATCGCAGCCTTGCAGGCGGACAGGTTCTCAGCGCAGTGGATTTTTTGGTCAGTCTTGACCAAATCTAGACCTAGATTGTGAAGTTGCATTGTTGAGCACACCAGTGGGCGATAATTAGGTAGGCTTTCATGCATTATCGTGATTGTATATAAAATGATCGATAGCAGCTCGTGGGGATGTAGTCGTCTGTGGTGCACAACCAAGTGGAGCAAGGGTTTTGCAGGCTGTTTGGAGGCCAAACTGTTTTTGGTGTTGAACCTACCTTTAGTAAGAGGACAGGATATGACATGATATGACAAGCTAGCTATTTTCACTGCCAGCAAGTCGCAGCCCCGCTGAAGTCAAGCCGAGGCCTTCCCGCAGTATGGCCTTCAGTACATCATTGGCGTAACCTATGCTTTGCGCTTGCAGGTGGGCCTGGCGCAGATGAGGGTGGGCGGGGCCTTATGAGAAGAGACAGGCGAGCACCAAGTAGACCGGATTTTGGCCAGGGACATAGAGGACGCATCCCCCTATTGCCATCTAACATTTCAGGGTCCAGGTTGGGTGCGTCGTAATTCAGTTGCCACACATGGAGAACCGAGACATCCGAACGAATGGTCTCCCGTTTTGGGGGATGCTGCGGATGCGGTTCACGTTCACCACAGAACAATTTCTGCGTGAAGACCGATCCAATTTGCGACGCCCGAGATGTTCTTGGTGTCCCTGTTGAGCGGTGTTTACCCACGCATGATGCGTGGGCCACTGAGACACCTCAGGGCACACGCTTGGTGGCGGCTGAAGAGTGCGGAGCTCAAAAGAGTCTCGCGTATGCGGGGCGCTGCTGCTTTCCATGTGCCGCGAATGGACGGTTTGTGAGGGACCGAAGACCACAGCTGAGGTACCAGGCATTCAAGGGTCTCTTTCGTGGCACAGTCATCTATGCCAAGTCCCCAGAAACGCTGTTCCAATCAGAGTTTAGCAGGGTTCAGCAGCCTTGACCGTCCGAAACGAAGCCCAAAACGACCCTGCGACCGGTCGGTGCCGTCGTGGGCCGTGTCGTGGCCGGTTGAGGGCTTGTTGTTGGCGCTGGTGGCCGCTGCGACCTTGATCCCATACCGGGTCCCGATCGCCTTTCTTCAGGAGCCTCCCGTTCAAACGGGAAAAAGGAGGATTTCGACTCAAGAATCCAGAATTAAAACTATATTATGTCATAGGTTTCAAGCATGTGCTTTATTTGACTTAGTGAGGATGGATTTCGAGTCATTGGTGCTCCCCACTTACATGAAAAGACCCCTCTTGGGGCCTTGGGGGGCCTGTTTACAGGAGCTTGGCCGTGTCCTTGGGACCAGAAGAGAAACCGGCAGCAGCCCGCCCCATGTACAGGCACGGCAGGCCTGTGAATATGCATCCTCCTTGGAGTGTACCAAGATCTTCACCTCAGCAGCTTGGAGCAGGTCAGCAGGTCGGTTGGAACGCCCAAAAACATCTGGATGAGAAGAGAACATGACGCCCATTTTTCATGATATATAGATTAGATTCGTTTTCCACTTGACATGGGGAATCGAACGAAGCATCTATGTGGTGTCATGGAGCTTTTCTTTTTTCCATTTCGCATCGCCTTCTGCTTTCGTCGTTGGCTTTTCCGGGTCGGGGAACAAGGAAAAACGCTGTGGATGGATGACGTGCGGCTGGCAGAGCTAGCGCTCTGCCATTTTGGGGAAGAGGTTTCGCACGGAGGATGGACATGTTCTGCAAGACATTGCAGCACGGGCTCGCAGGGTACGATCAGGTGTGGACCGCAGAAGACTGAAGCAGGAAGAATGTGTCAAGATGCACATTAATGGATGTCGCAATACCTTTTGGCATGGGCTACGATTGGCGCGCGGACCGCAGAATACCTTGCGTGAAAGTGCCGGGAGGAAGATGCTAATGCGCTGCACATGTCCTGGATGTCGTGATACCTAGGGTGAGCAGGTGTTGTGTGGGTGATGCCGGTGCACCACATGAGCTCGATGTGCAAATGCCTTGCGGAGGGGAGTCAGGGGACAGTCGGTGTGTGGATCGAATGCCTTGCCGGAGCAGGTGTTGGGTGGGTGATGCCGGCGTAAACATGATGCCTTCAACGCCAACTCACCATGATCCAAATAATGCACCCGGGGTGGGGATTGCAGGCGGGTTGAGGGGTCGCCACTGGGCAAGATGCTCTCCGCAGATCGTTTTGCAGGAAGCAGCTGAGCATACCCATGAGGCAGCCGTTGAATGTCAATGCTCCGTTGATGGACAAGCACAAAGCTCGTTCAACAAGCTTCACACGACCCATCAAATGGCACGAAGAAACTGGTTTGTTGGCAAGATCAAGTGCACTGTCGGGATATTTCGACACGAATTTGAGGGAGTGTGTGCCCGCAAAGGACACGAGAGCCTACAGACTGGACCCTCAACTTGCGAACAACGATGCAAAGCATTTTTGGCTGGCTACGAGGTTCTTCTTTTCTTCTGTTCACTAAAAACTTCACATTCTCTTCATGTGGTTCATATTATGCTTCTTTCCCTTTTGGATCTTCTGGTTCCTGGCTTGGACGTTCTGCTTGGTACCCCCGCGTTGGCGCCAGCACGCAGACTTCACCAACCGCTCAGCAAAAAAACAGCATGCCCCATGCCCCTGTTTTGTTTCATCTTTCGTTTTTAGGTTCTTGAGCTCACCTTGTTTTGGAAAACAGGACGGAGAATGCGGGAATTTGAACACTTTGAACTTCCAACGGATTTGGCAACTTGTGTCAATGTCAAATAATCGGTTGGTATGGTAGGGCTTGTGAGCAAGCCGGTGATGATCACTGTGCACTTTCCAATTGCGACCTTTAATTACACACAAAAGTGCTTGCCCATTCCCTCACCTTGTTCACTGCAGTCCCAGTTAGGTCTTCGGTGGCGGAGATGCAACAGGAGGCACCTTGCAAGGCTCAGCAATGTGGATCTTTGTGTGCCCGGGCCAATCGCGATGGAGGAAGAGGGTAGAACATTTGAGAGTCTAATGACTAATGACTAATGAGGATTCTGTTGCTTTGGGTAATTCTTTTTTGGGATGGGTGGTACATGTGAGTGAGCTCCTGCAACAGATTGTCAACATGACTACTGAGGTCCAGAGTTGAGGCAGGTGATAGACTTTTGGTTCACAAAATCATGAGTTTTGGTGAACAAAGTGATTTCGATGATTGTTCCCATCTACGATAATCATCCGGGCAGTTGATATGCTTCTGAAGAAGCATTGTGATTGTCCTGCGTTTTACCCGAGAACCAAGTGACATTCGTAGATGGATGGTTGTGAACTGAAATCAGGAACCCTCTAACTTTCAGCAGGGGCCGGCCTTATCCAACAAGAGATAGATTCTGAACATGAGTATTTTCTTTCAACGTCTTCTTGTGTGTCAAACGGTTCATCTCCCAACTGTCATCAGTGTTGTCCTCGAGCCATCTGTCCTAAAAGCTCAGGCCAATTCTGATTGCCCGGTGTTTCTACCAGCTCTACAAGGCCAGCAGTGCCCCGGTGTCGCGACACCCAGGCACCCTTCCGGGCGGCCCTTTGGTGCCGGTGAGTGCCCGGTGGATGTTGCAGAATCGATTCGTTTCATCAATATAGAGATAGATAGATGGTTCATGGACTGATTGGTGAGGAGAATAAGAATCATGCTCTGCTCGTCAAATTGCTCTTGTGAAGACGTGACATATTTATGATGGTCGCTTCCAGGCTGAAACACCTTTCAGCTGAGTTTGATGTTTATGACAGATGAACATGTCGAAACATGTGCCACAGCTCAGCTGTCACAGCTCAGCTGTCTAAGCAACTTTGTCAGCTTGGCTGGGTCAAACCCCGGGGTCACCTTCCATGCCATTGGTTCTGAGCACTGGACATGGGACGTGGTTGGGACCCAGATGTGCGCCACGACTCACTGAAGAGTCTGGAGGCTGGGCTCTATGCTTGCCTTGACTGGAGCTTCATGGCCATGGCCTCATGGGGCCGACCGTTTTCACCGGGCCACGTGTCGGTCGGAGCTGGGTTGCACGAGGGGTCGCAGCTGGGAGACGGAACGAGTGTTCTCCACCAGCGAAACTGCAGCGGTTTAGGACGAATGTTCACATGTTTTGTTTGACTGTTTTTTCCCTTGCAGTCTGCATATAAAGTCTACGTCGAACCCTGACAGAGCAATGCAATGGAGGTTCATCTCTTCCTCACAACGATGAAATTCGGCAAAGAGTCCGCCTGCTTGCAGTTCCGGCAGAGATGGAGCCCCACAAATCATTGGGATCGCAGCCCCACGGATGAGTGGCAAGCTAGACCTGCTACAGATCCCGGATGTCACGACCTCACATTTGTTTCTGTCACAAAGCACCATAAGGCTTTAGCAATGTGCAACAAAAAGTGCTGACACAAAGCTCCCCCAAAAGATCCTTCTTCTCTTCCGCTGTTTCTTCGAAATCGAGGCCCGCACTGGCGTTTCCTCGTTCCTTCTGGTGTTCCTACCCGCCATTTGTGCAGCGGTTTTTTATTTCCAGACTGTTGGGGATCCCCAGAGCGGGGACCGGCTTTGGTGCTGTTGGTCCGTTTTTTGGACGGGCAACGCGGTGAGTGTGAAATGGTGCTAACAGTTGCTGTAAGGATCAAAGCATCCCAATGTGCAAGTTCTTTTAGACCAAGCAAAGTGCAACCTAGCAGCTTCTGATCGAGGGTGGTACTTAAAGATCAAAGGAGGTTTCGATCAGAGAGGTTCCGCCGGTGCGTTCGTCCGCGCCGGTTCCGGATGCTTTTCTTTGCGTGCTGGGCCTGGTAGGCTACTCAGCATGCTCGCGTCTCTTCGTTTAGGATCACAGTTCTATTAAAGAACTGCAGCATTCCAAAAGGCACTTTTTGCGGGGCTTCGCGGGAGTTTGCCGTGCAGTTGGGGAACGGACCCCAAAAATACTCAACGCAGTGGGCAATGGGGATCGTGGGTACGGCGACCCACCGGGTGAGCGACCAGACAGACCAGCTCGACCTCACAGTGACGACCAGCTCGACTTGGCAAGGGCCAGGCATTTTGGGCATGTTCTGCCGTGGGTCTTCTTGGATTCGAGAAGATCCATCATATGCTACTGTATGAGGTGGCGAGACGATTCATGCATTTTTTCTCCCCCGCAGCAAGTGGGGGTTGATTCAGTTGATCCCCTTACGTTCGCCTGCTCAGGTCTTGTCTATTTTTCTGGCGATGTACTTGCCGTTGCTGGTCATGGCCATCACTTTTATGTGCCGAACGAGGCGAAGCTAACTGTTAGGGCCGCTGTGGGGGTTGAGCCAGCGAAACCATGGAAGACGCAACAATGGAGCTTGTGAACAGGCTCCAGGAAAGTGTCTATAGCTATAGTGGGAGGCTAGAGAGTTGTTTCTTTTTCCCCAAACAGTTTTACTGTTGGAGTTCTCTTTGTTGGGCTGCGGTCGCAGAATCACACCAACAATTTGCCTTCTTGCCGACTAATCTGTTTGGGGTCTATGCCGGCCAACATTTGTTTCCAGACCTTCCTCCTATGCGTTGGGCCTCAATCCTTTTGACCATGCATCCGGGCTGTGCAGGCGAAACATTAAGCGCATGCTTTCTGATCGAAGCGGACCTTGGCGAAAGGAACTCTAAAAACGGGCGGCCGCGTACAGAAGGGCAAAGTAGAGTGCGGTGACATGGGTGTGGGTAAAGAACATTTTTTCAGTACATGACAGACTCCAAACTGACTTTGTCCCAACCTGGTCTGCAGAGGAAGGAGACCTTCTTGCCGATGATCCGCACGTGGCAAGGATTCATTGGACCAATGCAGCTGAAGCTGCGGGTCCCGATTTGTGGCAATGATTGACAGTCAGCCGGAGATTGAGTTCAGAATGATCCCTGAGTTAATGAGAATCATTCGCTGTGTACGAAAGAGCTGTAAGAACTTGGCATGCTTTTCTGCCTCTGCTGCAGCTCGATCACGTCAAGATTCAAGATAACACAAGTAAACGTGGCTCCCAAAAAGTGAAACTGTGAGCCGCGGCTTCATCCTTTGTCGTATAAGATGCAGCAGGTTCTTCCAGGAAAGGGTACAGAAGATAGACGACGTAGCTCCGTCGTTTTGGGGAAGACTGTCCTCAAATGGCAGACGACGTAGCTCCGACTTGATGTGACCATGTGACATACTGTATGTTACACCAGAAACCTAGGAACGAGGTCAAGCACTGAGTTCTCACAGAGGATTGCTCCCTTTTGATGAGCTGCCATGGGAGCTAGCCAGGGCCTCACGGCCGCGTGTCAGCCCTGTCAGCCTGGCGCACCTTTTGCTGGAAAAAGACCGTTCGTTGGTGAACTCAAGAATAGGCCTTGACCATTTAAATGCCCTTAAAACTTGGGAAACAACTTTCGTTTGACTATGATACGTGGCCGGCCAACCTTGGAAACTGAGCGTCTTCCAAATCAAAGGAGGGTTGTTTGGTTGTTGATGGCACTGTCATCTCATAACGCGACAAAAGCTTCGTCACGGCAAGCCGTCAGACCTGCAATGCTCCGCATTTGGCCCCTCGGATGGTCCGTTTGGAGACGTCAGCGGCAGCAAGCGTGCGATGTTTCGCTTGGTGGTACCCCCTCAGAGAATCTATGCCTGAAATGACTGGAGACTCGCCATGAGACGTTGCATGATTGATCAAACTGGTAAGAAGGCTTTGCGGCTTCCACATGCTTGCGCACCCCGAATCCGCTCTGTGGGACTCGCCAGGTTACACAGAGTCCTGCTGTGATGATGATACACTGGTCCGGAGGTCCAGGGCCGCTGAAATCGAAGTGGTTTTACTTGAATTCCCTTTAAACTTGTGGCTTTGAATTTACATTTGGTCTACTTGTTCTATTCTATTTTGTTTGGGATGCTTTGGGATCATGGTTGACTTGGCTGAACGAACGAGAGTGAGCGAGGAAGTGTGGGACCTCGCAGTATTCGGGGCAGAGGAAAAGATGTGGAGTTTGTTTTGGCTGAGTAGAGTCAACCCTCCCTTTGGGAGGGATGATCGGTTTACTGTACTAGTCCCTTGGTGCTTCCACATGCCACGTGCACCTAACAAGTAGTGCACCTAACCTCTGACACACCCATTTCAGCCAGTGCCATCTGACCCTCAGACCCAGATCCAACGTGTTTTTGATCCGCTGAGGATGAGAAATCCACGACCTACACGAGACCCTTGACGGTGCATGGCCAGGGCCCTGATGGGGGCCCGGCACGTCGTCACTGGCCGCTTCAGTCCAAACTAAAGGGGCCGGTGTTACATTCTGCTTCTTTGAAACTCTAAAGGGCTTTGTTCTAAGCTTATCATACGTACATCATACAGGCGTGTTCTCTTGTATGGATTTGATGCTTGGCCAGCTTGTGGCGATGCTGGTGAGCCTAGTTTAGCAGGAAAAGGTTTAGTAGTTTATTGTGATCCTGTCAAGGGTTCTATGACTCTAGTCTATGACTCACCTTCCACCGCTGGCTGTTTCTTCACACAAGAATGCCACATGCACACACTTGAGATAGTGACTTCCAATAAAGCATTAGCACTTAAGACTCTTAAGACCAGTTGGCACATACACACACACAAGACGATTCAACGCGAGCGCTCGCTTGGCGCTTGCGAAGGAGACACGTCAGGGGTTGGGCCTCAAGGATCCTCAAAGGGGCATTTGACCTTAGTTTCTCTTTTGGCCAAAGACATTTGACTGTGGGTCAAAACCCCGTAACCCTTGTTGACAGCTCCTTGACCCACAGCCACTGAGGCTTCAATGTGCTGTCCTTTGGGCCGGGGAGTGGGCCAGCGGGGCAAGTCTTTGAGGCGGAGTGCGTCGAGTTTTGAACGCGGATCCCATCATCCCATCGACGAGTCCAGGTGACCTTGCAACGAAAGATTTCGGAGAAATCGGAGATCCTGGATATCCCAAACTGGCGTTCCTTTTCTCCCAAAAAAGGACGTTTTTCTTCTCTTTTTCACCTGTTCTGCTTCGCCCCAAAAACGCCGCGACCGCTTTCAGCGCCAGGAGACGCTGAGGGGGCTGAGCCGTCCGGGGGCTGAGAGCCGAGCCGAGGAGACGAGCCGAGGAGAAGAGCCGAGCCGAGTCGGCAGAGGAACACCCGGCAGCTCCTCCTGTTCAAGAAGCAGATCCCATCTGCAATTTTTTAGAGATGGAACGACTCGTTCTCATCTTTGCGTCCTTCTTTTCCACTCTGGATTTGTCATTGAACTTGTAGGGGGATAAAAAGGAGCTGCAGTACAATGCATGGAATACATAGATATTACATAGCATAGAGATTGCACCGAAAACCGCACCGTTGCTGGTGTTTTTGCGCGGTTTTTATATTAAGCGTCCAAATGCCGCGCCACGAGGCTCTGACCGAAACCTGCTGCAGTTTGCCTCGACTCCATGTCTGGCAGCTGTGAGGTGGCGCGACTTCTCGGTTCGGTGGGGTAGGCCCTGTCCTCACGATCAGGTCCACCGAGCGTCCTACGTCGATGTGGGAGGGAGATCGGGACCATACGAGTGCAAAGGGCCGGTAGCGTCCGACCGCTCCGTGACTTCGCGATGCCCGGAGCTCAGCTCCGTTCGTAGCGAACCTGGTTCCGTTCGTGAGGCCAGGAGCTACTAGTAGCGGGGTCTGCTAAACCATACATTTCTGTAAAAACCAGCTGTCGGGCTTTCTGTGAGCAGAGACCGTCGAGTTTGCATGGCGCCAACTTGCACCAACAAGTCCGATGGAAAGGCCAAGAATTGGGTGCTGAAAAAGGTGGATGATTGCAGAAAAGCATCGTATTACGGTATAAAACATCCCCTGCCCTGTTTTCGGCTTCCTGAGAACGGGTTTTCCTCCAACACGATGGACTCTCCGGTGTTCCGGGCGGTGGGGAATCCCACCTGTGGTCGTCTCACACCTTCCGGGGAAGATTCATGTGGAACCTGTCATGAACCAGACTGGAAGACCCTCTACAACCTCTACAACCCGACGTGGTTTGTCTGGTTCCATGTGGAGCTCGGAACCACGGCATCGGAACCGGATGGATTCCACCCGTCCGTTCCTCGAGTTCGGGCCGCCAGGTGGCTCATTTATCAGGGCGCCTCCCCGGACGTGCATGATGCGAATGGATCCTGAACTGCATTAGACACAAGACACGAATGGCTCGGGAGAAAAGGCGGACATGAAGAAATGAAGACATTCTCGGGATGGCTCCCACCTTGTTATGACCAACCAGGTTGGAGTGTAAGACACGTGTTTTAGTTTCACAGTTTCACTTCTTATTTTTTTTGCCAGGCTTTCTTAAGCTTTGAGTGCCACATTGATCCCTTTGTTTTTCAACTCCCATCTACATATACTATAATAATACCTCCATTTCCACGAGGCAAACGATGTCTGAAAGACATGGTGAAGCTTATGCGGCGATGCGCATGACACCTTCCGAAACATGCTTCAAAGCATGGAACGAATCGTGTTCCGTCCGTAAGTCGCGAAGATTTCCTTGTTCCAGACTATCAACAAGGTGCACAAGGTGCACATATTATTCTTGTTCAGATATGACAAAAGCTCAAAGGGGCAAGTGTATGAGAGTCTCAAGTTCCGCCAGTGAATATGAGTCCGGCCAAGGCACCACTGCTCTTCATGTGGCATGCAGATCCGGCTCTTTACCTGTGGTCTGCGAGGCTGCGGCAGTGGCGGGTTTGGAAAGAGAAACTGACATGGGGTCTGTATTATCCCCCTTAAGACCTCGGGATAAAAGGAAGATGTACTAAAGCAAATTGGTTGGGTGGTCTCTATATTCTGAGAGATTTCCCTGTTGGACAGCTTGGTGTCCTTCAACTTGTGATCTTGAACTTGCCTCTTGACCTTTGTCCTCCTCTTGGGCTGATCCATGGTGAGTCTTTTCCGCTCGGATTTGCATGTTTGAGGCTTTTTGAGAGATGCGAGATGTTGAAGAGAGCGCACTTTGTTCTATCATGCTATATTATGTTATATCTTTCTATGTTACTATTGGTCAAAACCATATTATGTTATATTATAGTTTCTTTTTATTCCCTTGACATTGAGCTACATCGGCATTTTGTGGAGCTGCACTTATAGTTTCGGGGGAACTAGATTACAGACCACTGGATGAAGATGTTCTGCGAAACCAACATGTTCGAACACGCGTGTCTGATTAAGCCATGGCAAGCCATGGCCACACTGTTTGAGTCTGAAGAAAACACTCAAACCCACTCTGAAAAACCTCCTCTGAAACACAAATAACGGGTGCGAAGCGCACGGTCTCCGGTCTGGGAGGTCTTGAAGTTCTCCCAGCTCTTGGAGGCCGTGGACATCGCAGGCGGGGACGGGTCGTGGACGAGCCTGACGAGGCTCGTGTGGGTCTAGGGTGGAGGCTCTTAACGCCTGGAGACGGTCCTCAAAGATGGAGCTTTGGAGGCAGGAACCGGAGCGTTTGGATCGCAGTACTTGGTAGACATGCCGGAGCTCCCAGCAGGGTGGTGCTGTTGGAGGGTTGTTTCAAGAGGTGAGGGGATCCTGGAGAATCCTTCCACCGTTTTCTGAGGTTCCGCTAACCGGACCTTCTAGTGCCAGAAAAAACGGTTTGGTTTTGGACTTCGAGAAGCCTTTTTCTTGAAGGGAGTGACTTTGAGAACCCACCTGGTGCCATTGCCAGCTGCGCATTCATTCCCCCTCTTTCCTCTTTAGACTCTTGACACTGTTTTTCTTTCGTCCTTCAACCCTGGTCCTGTCGCCAGGTTGGACTCCGCTTCACATTGCCGGGCACATGGGTCGCTCAGAGGCTGTTCGATTCCTCTTGCAGGCGCTGAACAACGACACTCTCGGCACCACGGACTCACCATCGCCAGTATGAGTCATTGACATGCGTGGAAGGTCCTTCACATGTCTTTTTTCGTTTCGCAGCTGGACCCGGACCGCCCTGTTCTCCAGGCTCGTGCCAGCCCTCACCGGAGAAATGCCGCGGGTCCGGACCGTCCGGTCCGAGCGGAGCACGGCGGAGCACGGCGCTGCGCGGCGCAGCGCGGGACGGACGGTGCTCGGGCGGCGATCTGAGGCCAGACACCTGCACAGATCTCCTTGGATCGCATCACCCGCGAGGTGGGTGAGATGACGCGGACCCGAGAGGTGGTGGTGGTCTGTTACTGTTTTGGTCAGAAGGAATGGTGGGACAGCATCATTTCGAGGATGAAGATGGGAACATGGTGGTTTTGGCCCATGGAGTCCACAAAGTGACAAACATCGGAGGGTTCTCTCTTCATATTTAGAGAACAACTACCAGGACCCACAAGGGGTGGTTAATGGACACCCCTTAACCTCTAAGACTCTAAGGGGCTATCAATAGAAGCTCCAAAATTTGGGGGGTCCTGGTACGCCAAACTCGTTGAAACTTTGTTGTTGTTGTTGTTGCGGGGCGTTTTCTTCACCGACCAGACGGGTCTTCTTCGGTTTCCTCCCACGGAGCGCTCGCTTCGCGCTCGCTTTCGGTGTCCTCCGTTGGGGCTCGGCGGTCAGGTGCTCCAAGCCGCCGCGGAGGATGGCGACTGGGAAAGGCCCTCGCGGGCCGCCGACTTGTTGGTGCAGTAGGGAAGGAACGACGTTCCGACCTACCCCTGCTTTTCGGTAATGGTCCTTCTGCCAGCCAAAAGGGCGCCAGGTAAACGCTGGCATTCTTTTTCAGAGATGGAGGAGAGTCTTCCAAGTTCCAAGGATGGGATGTCGATTTCTTCCTGACCCTGCAGAGTCATGGATCAATTCTATAAGGTGAAACGAACAGATGGGTTTGTGGTGACGTGAGACATGATCGATTCCTATGTTGCTGTCAGAAGATGTACAAAGTTGCTTCAAGCAAGATGGTGACACCTGTAGACCATCTGTGGTTAGGTGCCTCTTGGTGACTCTTCATGTTTCTTCAATCGAGTGTGGTCACTGCCAGCAACGTGCAGGGGTATGGTCGCTCTGGGTGATGCGGAGCAGGCTGGGTCGACGACAAGTGGATCGGAAGATGGTCGCCTGATCCGACCTTTTGGGGGGCATTTCTGACCAGGGCATTTCTGTCTGATCATCTTTACATTCCTTTTTTTTGAAAAAAGATTTGGAGTTGCCTGTGTGTGACGATTCTTGTTCTCACCATGTCAGGAGGGGCCAAGGATCACTCTTTGGGTGTTCTGGGTGCTCTTAGGCCGCCCAGTCTGCTAGATTCAGCTGCTGCGTCTCTAAGACAACCTGCGCAGTCCTGAGAATTCAATCAGCTCCTCCCGAACGGAACAAGCTGGGATTTTGGATGATTTTGGTGCACATCTGGGTGCTGCTCGGACAAGCTTGGTCCTTGTCAGGAGGTGGAAGAGGGTCCTGACGACTACTTCCCCGCCTTCAATGCGAAGGAGGCGCTTGAGACCGACCGGTCCGAGCCGGTCTCTCCAACCCGAGACCCAGATGAGACCCGTCGCGGATGGAGACCGTCGACGATGAGGCCGAAGAGGTCCTGAGAGGTTTCCACTGGCCGATGGTATCACCGAAAAACCACACTGGCCGCCTGAAGCATTTGCGGCCAACCTCCAACAGAAGATCGAAACCACCTCCTAGTTGTAGCATCGAGAAAGATCACTTGGCTCGTGAACAGGTGTCCTTAGAGTCTAGCACGTGGGTGCCAGGTTAAGTTTAGGACAACATGTGCAATGGTTTTTCAAATCGTGGACTTTCGCTCTTTCAAATCAACTTGATGGTCCCAGTGCCAAACAACAGGGATTTGATGCCTAATTGACCTCCTTCCTTCCGGAGTTGGATCCCTCCGCCAGGATCGTGTGGGTGTTCCCCATCAATGCGAGCGGGAGCTCTTCTTCGTGACCCCGAAGGCATCCATCAAGGAGGTCACGACCTTCAGGCGGGCACTACGGTGACCACGCCGACTCTCTTCGCATTCTTTGAAAAGAGCTGGTCGGAAAGGTTCGTGAACGGTTGGTTGATGTTTCTATTTGAGTATTCTATCTTGAGGAGTGTGCTTGAAGATGGGCTCACGCCAAAAAATAAAGCAACAAGGATGATTATGATATCGCATTGCATCACATTTGGCATTTAAGCTTTGTTACAAGTGATGAGCTAGGTTGGTCGGCATGCAATTGCCATCTTGCCTGCTTGCCTGTTTGCCTGCGTACGGTATCAAACTCTCCAGCCTAGGCAAAAGGATTCCTCATGGACTCATGCTAGGTACAGTGGGACCAGCTACATGCTATGCAACTGGACTTTTGCTCCACTGCTACACAGTTGCTGGCAAAGTCGGATTTGGCTGTTTCACAGCTGCGTGGATGTGAACGGAACCGCAGGAAGTCGCTCATGAAGTTGCTGGTCCTGTCGGAGCCCCCGTTTCCACCGATCCAGTCGTCCGGGCCACCGATCCAGTCGTCCTGATCAGCACTTACTTCATCTTACTTCCATATGGATCTGAAAGAGAGTTGAGTTGGAAGATCTTGGAAGACAAGGGTCAAACTGACAGCAAGCCATCTCATGTGGGACTAGCTGATCAGGGTATCATCGGTATCGCCTTCAAAAGGCATCAGCAGTATTTGATAGGCCACCACCATTTGCAATCATGATCGTGATTCATTATGGTAGTATTACCGCCATAGAGAAGCGTTCACCCCCATGAGAAGCATCAACCCGGTTGGTCTTTGGAACATGGTCTTATGTGCTTCGTTTGACGGAATCGCTCTCACGCGAGTTATGGAGCGGCGGGGCCCAGCGCGATGCGAAGCGAGGCTCTTCAATCTCAAGCCCAGCGCGGGCTTGGCCTTTGCGGTGGCGTGTGGCCTTTCAGTCGGCCTTCCCAGTCTGGGGGGAAGGCCACATGTTGTGCGGTGAATGGCCAACCGCCGCGGCGGTGGATCCAGTTGGATGTCGAGCATGGATGTGGTGTTTCGGTGAGTCCCCCAAGGCCCATGCAACGAAAACCTTTTATGCAATGAAACGAAGACCATTCACCAGCGGCCCAGCGTTGCACTGAATCCTTCCCGGTGCTGCCGTGGCTCAGGAAAGCTACGGTGCTGCCGCGAGGGCTCTGCTCCACACAGAGGCTCTGCTGCCATTTGTCTTAGCGGAGAAAGTTAGGGATGAAGGAAGACACTCACTCCGCCGAGCCTTTGGCAGCGGCCGAGCCGAGCCAAAGAGTTGAGGCAAGGCTTAAGACGCGGAGCTCGTCTTGCCAAGAGTTTTTGTTTTTTGCCGATGGATTCGGACGCATGAAGGATTCCCCGATGCTCCCCGATTCACCCAATCTGCCCTCAGCGGACACCAGGGCGCAGACCGAAGCAAGATAGGCAACTTCTTGGGGCAGGACCGAAAGCGCGGGCCGCTGCCGCAGCGACGGGAAGTGCACGAAGAATCTACACTAGTAAAGTTCATTTTGGAATCCGAAGCAGCATTCCAGTTGGAATCATCATCGGGACATATTGGCACTCTCATAAGGGATGGTGCTATCGTACAATTGGTTGACTCCCCTTGGCATTTTTGAGTCCTTGCTAGTAGCTGCTAGTCTCCAGGACTTTTCCCTTTGCTTGTTGGTGCGCTTTGGTGTGCTCGACAGCTTGCCTCTGCTAAGCACTGGGGTGATTTCATGTCAGGGCAGCCCAGCTGTGTGTCTGATCAGCAAGGAACCAGCTGAGCAGTTCTTCTTTTGGGCTCGCATTGCCCGAGGAGCAGAAACCAAGGGGTTGGCATGCGAGAAATATGTTGGCTACAGAGGTTGATGGTTCTTCTTCGAAAAATGGAGATGGTGGACTTAAGATAGAGTAGTCTTGACTGCCAAAGATCATGGGATGTGGGTATCTCCTGAAACAGCAGGCCAGTGTGTATTCCAAGGTGCAACACTTCTCGAAGTTCCTCCAGCGGCTTTCCCATTACAAGTTTTGATGATGGTAACATTGTCCAGCCAAGCTTACAAAGACCCAGATTTGGCGGACCCAAAACAAACCTCCGAAGCCACGCAGATTCCACATGAACAAGAAGCCAGCCCAGCACATCTTACGCCAAAACCACCAACGAGTTTCAGGGAAGAATGAGACGAAACAGGACGGTGGTCCGGGACCAGACGACGTACGTCAAAAGGCCCCGTCCCACGCGGTCCCGCGATCGTCCAACATCCAAGGCCTTGAGATGTCGTTCTCAAGAATTCAACTGCCCGAGGAGAGTCGCTGGACGCGCCGGCAAACGTGTGGTGCGGAAAAGAGAACCTGTGGTGCGGTGTTTCTTTGCTGGCTGATGTGCTGGCCGGTGTGGTGTTCTTTTGTTGAAACTGATTTGCGCGGTGTGATGTGGACATCTGCATGGGAAGTTGGTGGTAGGAGGGATGAATGGATGAAGAGAGAAATGTTGGCTTTTTTTTCTCTGCCCTGGGTCCACCTGGCCAGTGTCGTCCTTCGTATCTTGGTTTTGAGGGGTTTGGCAGGTTTCAGGGTGGGTAAACGTGCATTTTGGATTCGCCCGAATCTTGTTTTGTCTGACTCTTGATTCTTCCAAGGCAGCAAGACACACTGTAGTTACGATTGGTGATTGGTGATTGGCGATTGGTGTCAAAGATGCCAGAGCCGGAGGCAGACATGGCAACACAGGAATAGAGTCAGGGGAGAACAAGAGTGCTTTTCGCTTTGAGATTGCAGGCTTGAGCCAAAAGGGCATGGCATTTTGGCTAGTGAAGTGTATTCCTGAAACATAAGCTGGTTTCCACAACAGGTTCCAAGCACGTACTAAATATATATATATATATAATATATATATATATATGCACACATGATAGCCGCTGGGTTCAAAGGCCCTAAAGCTCGGGCTTACGGGAGCCCAGGACCGGCCGGGTGCGCGAGCACCAACCGGTGTCCATAAGGGAGGGTCTGCGCCCTCCTCCCTTGGCACACGTGTTGGATAGCCTCCGTGCCTCGCTTTTTGAGCCTTTGCCATGGATGTGGATGAAATCCTGCGGATGGCCGATGAGGCCCTTGCTGGCTCGACGCGACTTCAGTTTCGATCCCTGCTTTCGGATCTCGGGAGCGCTCCCTTTCCGCTGGTGGTCCAGGGACGGACCTTCATTGTGGGTGAGACCATTTGCTGCGATGGGAACATGATAGAACTAAAGCCCCTTGCTTTTTCGCCTGGCAAGGGCTTTCACAGCTCGGATGCAATCCCACAGGCGGTGAATATCCATGTGCCTGACTTAGCCATGCGCTCAATGTCCATCCGCCCCGGTGTACAACTGATTTGCGCTGGACCACTTGTTCCACCGACCAAGAAGTTTGTGTACAACTTTGCTACCTCTGCCTCGATTCATTTCAGGCCTGAGTTCGACTGTACATTTGGTTGGGAGTGCACCCATTTATTCTGCGGTGCATTCTGTGGATGGAGCCAAGCGATTGAGTGGTTGCCAAATGCTGGTTTCGGCTTTACAATTGTCGCCAAATTTTTGTGGATCATGATGAAACCATCCTCCAGCTCTGCTGCGCACAGAACAGTATGGACATGCTGCGATGCCCTCTCAAGAGCGATGCACCCTGGAATCCTGCGGGGAAGGTTGCAGTGTTGGGGGATGTGGCCGACATTCCTTATGTCCACAGGTGCCAAGTGAACCTCTTGTGTACACTTTCGCCGCCGTGCCAATCGTGGTCGAAGGGAGGCAAGGCATGTGGCCTCATGGACGCCAATGGTTGGTCCTTTGTGGCTGGGCTAGAACAGGTCTTTGCCCTTCAGCCGGTCTTGGCATGTGCCGAGTGTGTGGATGAATTTGCCTCACACAGCCATTTTAAGCTTGTACAAAGCGTGGCCACATTTTTTGGGTACAAGACCCTGTGGGCACAGATCGTCCCATACCATGAATTGGCCAACCACTGTCGATCGAGGTGGCTGTGTGTTTGGGTCCGTGCAGACATTCAGGCTGAGCCATTGGGTTTTAGTCTTCCCTGTTCGATTGCACCCAGAGTACCATGGAATGATGAGTGTTACCATTTCCACTTGCCCAAGGTTTGGCGTGACCAGGTCCGCCTGAGCAGATCGGAAGCAGAGATCTATAATGATCCCCAAATGTATCCTCCTGCCAAAAGGACCAAGGTGCTGGCTTCGACGCGTCCTGATGCAGGACTTCTTGTGAGACTTGCCAACCCGAAAGAACCGCTCCCTACATTGTGTGCATCATACTCTGCCCAGCATGTGGTGCCATTCGAACACCTCAAATCCAAGGGGATCTTCGCTGTGCTTGCGCACCAGGACGGTTCATATGGTTTCCTTGACCCAGCTCACTTTTGCAGCCTGTTCGGAACCACTAAGGAACTACTTTTGCCGAGCAAACTTTCGTTAGCCTTTAAGGTCGTAGGTAATGCAATCACAGTCCCACGCAGTGTCCTGTGCCTGAGTGTCGGTCTTTATGCCATCCTGCCAGAAGTCATCGATCCTGTCTCGGTCATGAGAGATGCCTGGGAACACCGGCTGACTGCCAGATCAGCCCTCCTCTTCGAGCAAGGTCCCTTTGTCCACCTCGTGCCTTTTGCCAGTGCACGTCAGCGCCTGCGTACTAAGGACATCCTTCCTGATCAAGGTGAATGGCGAATTCTCTTTGCTCTCCGTGATGAGGCGGATGTAGTCGAGATGCGCGCTACTATGAGCACTTCGTTTGCTGAAGTCGCAGCGAGCTTTTTCGATGGGCCTGCCGGACTCCTTCAACAACTGAAGCTGAGCTCCCACCTTAGGACCTGTGATTTGACCTTGAGCATTCGAGAGCTCTCTGCAATTGCCGATGAATGGGACCTTTGGCTTGGGTCTGTGTGCCTCGCCAAGTGTACCTTTGTCCTTCAACCTGTTCGACCATCTCCGAGGCTGACTCTGGCGAGTGAACTTTGTTCCCCTACTGCTCCAGGCCTTGATGTGGCTGACTTGCCCATTGACCTCTCGCGACCTGGATCTTTAGGAGCGTTTTGGTCATTGTGCCGCCTTCATCCGTATCCTTGAGATGTTTCGACCCATTGACTTTGTGAAGGGCACTGCAGGATTCAAGGTCTTCATTGTCCATCATTTGCTTCCAGGAGCTTTGGCCATCCGCTGCAACCAAGAGAACTATGATACTCTCCTTGTTGGTCTTCGACGATTGATCTCGCCTCAGGAGCGAATTGCCACCACACTTGCCTTTGGTGCTACCGCATCTGCCATTGGCCCTTTTCGGGTCGTCCACATCTTTGCTGCCCCAGCCACTGAAGATGAGATTGCTGTTACGGTCCTCATCCCTCAAGATGAACAACTACATCATGCAATTGTTGGCCCAGCTTTGCAAGTGCTCCCAACCTTTTCGCTCTGCCACGTTTTGTACAAGGTTGAGCAAATCAATGGCATTCCGAGTGCCCAGCACACTGGGGCACTCTGCTCAGGATCCTTCTTGAGTCTCAAGCGAAGCAGTGACATTCGTGCAGGAGGGCATCACCTCTCATCCGGTGCTACACCAACACTGCGTGCAGGCGCAAACTTCCAAGAACGTGCTGAATACATGTGTAATAGTGTAATACACATGGGTGGATTGCTGCTGATGAGCTTTGGAGCATCACGCAAAACATTATGTTCATGCAAGATGACTACAAGTTTACTGCACTGGTGTACTGGAATCAGGCTGAGTCAGACTTCACCCTGTCACCATTTGGGGAGCTCTACCTGTTCAACAACACTATGAATGTAATCTGCATCCTGGTCGATGATCACTGGGCTGCCATTGAGATCCGCCGCAATGCCGATGCTGCTCACCTCACTTTTGTGCAACTTCCACAGCATCTTCACACAGCTGCCACCTTTGTTGTCTCCCGCCTCTTGGACATCGCTCCACACCGGCTGACTTCCTCCAGTGAACATGAGGCCCACCTGCCACACTTGTGTGGTTGGAGATTGATCCAGCGATGGGTGCAGCACTTTGATCTCGCGGATGAGTTTCAGCCTGAAACACTCAATGGCGTTGCTGACCGCTTCCATGACATCATCACCATGACCATGGAGTGTGCCCTTGAAGACTGGCGAACTTATCAGGCTCCACCGCCACTGATCCATCTTGCGGCTCTGCTTCGGAAGAAGTTCCTCATCTACCTTGCGCGAAGGGAATCCCAACAGAATCCCTTGCCTCAGAAGGAATTGGTTGCTGCCTTTCCGGTGCGACTTCCACCAATGTCATCATCGCCGTGCCTCCTACGGCCCTTGAGAGTGCCACTCAGCGCATCTCAGACAGGCTTGAGCATTTGTTGACTTATAGCGGGTGGATGGCCTCAGATGAGATGGATTTTTCCTTGGATGTTGCGAGAATCATTCAACCAACCACACTCTTCTGTGCACCAGCAGTGTGGAATCTGATCACTCGTGATTTGGAATTTCCCAATGGACTCCTCCCGGAGTACGGTACGTACAACCACATCATCTGGCTCGTCATCCACAACAACCATTGGATTCAGTTCGAATGTTATCGATGTGGATCGAGTTCGGTCTTCATTGCTTCTGTGCCTATCCATCAATGGGGCATTTATGTTCCTCTCATTCAGCTGCTGATGTTGGCTTTGACCACCAGAACATGGCCATTGATTTTGTTGACCAGACTATGCCACGTGATCTCTGTGGCTACTATTTGCTGGCAAACCTTTTCCACCGACTTGGACTTGTCACACCACCTCCGCTGGACGTGCGTGATCAGTTGTTGGAACAAGGGCAGCACGCCCCACTCATTGCCAGAGTTCGCAGAGAAGCGAGGAATACCTGGATGAGAGCTGAAGGCCTCCCTGATTTCGTTGTGTTTGCGGCCAACATTCGTGATTGGTTCTTGCTTCGTGTCAAGTCCAACCGGTTCCCTGACACATACTATGCAGCAGGCGCAGTCCAGAACATGCAGGTCGATGCTACCTCTCAGCAGCCGATTGCACCAACCTCAGCACCCAGCACAGCGGCTGCTGCAACGACTCCCGCCAAAGGGATTGATCATGTCTGGATCAATGACCCCTGGGGTAGGAAACCCCCACGTCCGGCCCAATGCAAGTGGGCCTGATTTACGTATTCAGCTTGAAGTTCCGTTCATTGGTTCTGATGGTGCTGCACTCCAGCAAACTCACCGCCTGCAGCTTGGTCCCAACCGCGGGGGCATTGTGCTCCTCACCAAATCCTTCTTGTCTGAGGTGTCCAAGCAAGTG